ACGTTTTGCTGCAGGGAATTTATGGCAACAATGAACGGGTTCCTGTCACATAAGCTCCCGAGTACAACAACGAAAGTTCACTTCTTGTTTGGCAATTCACTTACTCCGCCATAAGCCCCCTGTCCTCGGTGTCCCTCCCCCCCCTCTCCCTCTCGTCCTCTCCTTTCCCTTCTCTCTTTTCCCTTTTTTCTTCTCTCTCATTCCCCTTTCTCTCTTCTCCGTCTCTTTCCCTCTCTATCCCTCATTTTTCCTTACCTTTCTTTCCCTTTTCCCTTCTCCCTCTTCTTCCCCTCTCTCTCTCCCTCTCCTTCCCTCCTCTCTCTCTTTCCTTCTCCCTCTCTTCCTCATTCTCTCCTTCCCATTTCCCTCTCCCTTCTTCCCCTTTCTCTCCCCTTTCCCCTCTCCCATCCCATCTCTCTCTCTCCCTCTGTTTCCCTTTCCCTCCTGTCTCCCTTTCCCTCCTCTCGCCTTCCCCTTCACTCCCCTCCCCTCCCCTCGGCTGGCGACAGGTTCAGGGCGAGAGAGAAGAAGAGGAAAGAAAAGGAGGAATATTAAATATTTTGATAATTCCAAGAAATGTGTGGCTTGGTTTGATGCGCAATACGGGTGCGTCTGGATTCGGAAATTTTAGGCTCGTTATCATTATGATAATATTACTATTACTATCATTATTATTATCATTATATTATTATTATTATTATTATTATTTACTATCATTATTGTTATACTATCATTAATTATTATCATCATTATTATATTATTATCATTATTATTAGTTATTATTACTATTAATACTATTACTATTACTATTATTATTATTACTACTATTTACTATTAATATATTATTATTACTACTATTACTATTACTATTATTATTATTACTATTATTAGGATTTTTATTATTATTTATATTATACTAATATTATTTATTAATTAGTTAAATTATTATTATTACTATTGTTATTATTATCATTATTACCATCATTACTATTGATATTACTCTTACTATTGTCGTTATCATCATTATTGTGATCATTTATATCAATGTAATTGTCACTGATATTATCATTATCATTACTATCATTATCTGATTTGTTTCTATTACTACTGCTGTATTATCATAACAATAACTACTGCCATTGTTGATTATTTTTTACCTTTTAGTAAATTAATATCTCTGTCTATCTCTTTCTTTACCTGTACGTTTCTCCTTTCATCCTACTCTCTCTTCTCTCTCTCTCTCTCTCTCTCTCTCTCTCTCTCTCTCTCTCTCTCTCTCTCTCTCTCTCTCTCTCTCTTCTCTCTCTCTCTCTCTCTCTCCTCTCTCAACGACCTATAATTAAGATCCGAAGAGTTTCTCTTTCATTTTCCCTCCCCCCCCTCTCTCTCTCTCTCCTCTCTCTCCTTCCTCTCTCTCTCCTCTCTCCTCTCTCTCTCTCCACTCTCTCTCTCTCTCTCTCTCTCTCTCTCTCTCTCTCTCTCTCTCTCTCTCTCTCTCTCTCTCTCTCTCTCTCTTCTCTCCTCTCCCTCCCTCCCTCTCTCCTCCCTCCCTCACCCTCATCACCTCGCCCTTCCCCTACTTCCCACTCCCCCTCCCCCCCTTTTCCCTCCCAACCTCCTCTCTCTTTCCTTCCTCTCCCCTCTCTCCCCTCTCTCCCCTCTCTCCTATCCCTCTTTATCCCCTCTCTTCCCCTCTCTCTCTCCCTCGACACGAGTGAAGAGCCGACCCAGCAGCTGGCGCCTGGGATAGCCATTGGAACGATTTTATGTACTTTATGGTAATGCCGACTTGAGGTGAGGGAGAGGGTGAGGGGGGTGTGAGGGAAAGGGGTGAGGGGAGGAAGGTGAGGGGTGAGAGGGAAAAAGGTGTGAGGGAAAGGAGGAAGGGAGGGGGGGCGTGAGCGGAAAGTGAGGGGAAAGGGTGAGTGAGGGGGGTGAGGAGCGAAAGAGTAGGAGGGTGAGGGAAAGGGGTTGAGCGGGAAAGGGTGAGGGGAGGGGTTTGAGGGAAAGGGGTGAGGGAGGGGTGAGGGGAGAGGGGAAAGGGGTTGAGGGGAAAAGGGGTGAGGGAAAGGGTGAGGGGAAAGGGGTGTGAGGGGAAGGGGTGAGGGAAAGGGGTGTGAAGCGAGGGAGGAAAGGAAAGGGTGAGGGGGGGAAGGAGGGGAAAGCGTTGAGGGTAGAGGGTGAAGAGGGGAAAGAGGGAAAGGTGAGGGAAAGGTGTGAGGGGGAGAGGGAAGAGGGAAAAGCGTAAGGTGAGAGGGGAAGGAGGAAAGGGGTGAGGGAGGAGAAGGGAAGGGTAAGGGAAAGGTGAGGGGAGAGGGGAGGGAAAGGGGTGAGGGGAAAGAGGAGAGGGAAAGGGGTCGAGGAAAGGAGGAGAGGGAAAGGTGTGAGGGGAGGAGGAAGAGGAAAAGGGTAAGGTGAGAGGGGAAGGAGGGGAAGGGTGAGGGAGGAGAAGGAAAGGTAAGGGAAAGGGGTGAGGGGGAAAGGGTGAGGGGAAAGAGGAGAGGAAAGGTGTGAGGGGAGGAGGGAAGAGGGAAAAAGGGGAAGGGTGAGAGGGAGAGGGAAGGGTAAAGGGGAGAGAAGGCGAAAGAGGAGAGGGGTGAGGGAAAGGGTGAGAAGAGGAGAAAGGGAAGAGGTGAGGGGAAGGGGTGAGGGGAAAGGGGTGGGGAAAGAGGGGAGAGGGTGTGAGAGGAGGAGGGAAGGGGTGAAGCGAGGAGAAAGAAAGGGTGAGGGAAAAGTGTGATGGAAGGAGGAAAGGGAAGAGGTGAAAGGAGGAGGAAAGGTGTGAGGGGAAGGGGAAGGGTGAGGGAAGGAGGGGAAAGGGTGAATGGAGGAGAGAAGAGGATGGAAGGGGAAGGAGAAAGGAGGAAGGAGGAAGGGGAGGAGAAGGAAAGGGGTTGAGAGGAGGAGGGAAGGGGTAAGGGTGTGAAGGGAGGAGGAAAGAAAAGAAGGGAGGGAGGAGAAGAAGGAAGGGGAAGTTTGGTATGAGAGGAGAGGGAGTGAGGAGAAGGAGAAAGAAGGGGGAAGGGGAAAAGGGAAAAGGGGGAAGGGTGATGAGGAGGAGGGAAGGAGAAAGGAGGAAGGCAGAAAGGAGAAAGGAGGAAACGGGAATGGGGAAAAGGGGAAGGGTGAGAAAAGAAGGCAAAAGGAAAGGAAAGGGGTGAGGGGAGGAGAAAGGAGGAAGAGGAAAAGGGAAAATGTGAGAGGAGGAGGAAGGGAGAGGGAAAGGTGTGAGGGAGGTTGGGTGAGGGGTTGGAGGATGGAAAAAGGAAGAGGGGGAGAGAGATAAGGGGAAAGGGGTGAGGGAAGCGGAGGAGGAGAGAATCTGGAGGGGAGGGTGGGAAAGGAAAGATGGGGAAGAGGGTGAGAGGGTGGAAGAATGGGGGGAGAAATGTGAGAAAGCAAAAACAATTGCGAGGACGAAAAACAGCAAGAGAGGGAGAGAGAGAGAAAGGGCTCGAAGAACAGAAGAAGCCGAGAGACGTGGGTGGGTGGGAAGGAGGGAGGAGGAAGGGAGGGGAGGAGGAGAAGGGGAGAGGAAGGAGCAGGAGGGGAAAGAGGTGGAGATCGACGGCTGTTTGGGAAAAGAGTGGAAATGAAGATAGAATGAGATAGGGCGGCCGGGAATACGGATGGGCAAGGGAAATGGGGTGAAATGGGCACACACACACAGAGGGAAATATATTATATATGCATCTATTATATATATAATATATATATATATATATATATATATATATATATATATATATATATATATATATAATATATATATATATATGTGTCAATATATGTTGTATAAGTGTATATATATGTATACACACACACACACACACACACACCACACACACACACACACACACACACACACACACACTATATATATATAATATATATTATATATATATATATATATATATACATATACATATACATATAATGTCATATATATGTCTAATATGTTGTATATTGTGTGTATATATATATATATATATATATATATATATATATATATATATATAATATACATCATTATTTAGACTGAGAGAAAAGACAGACAGACAGTTAGATAGACAGATAAATAACATACAAACATGCATACAACAGACAGACAGACAGACATACAGACAGCCAGCCAGCCAGACAGACAGACACAGAATAAACCTGTTCAGCCGCCCTGCAAAAGGAGCATTCGCCGCCAGTGTGAAATGGCAAAGCAGAGTGACACGAGAGAAGGGGGAGGAAAACATGCATCATTTGAGATTTAGGGGAAAGAGGGGAGAGTCTGGGGAAGGAGGGGAGGCGGAGGAGGAAGGAAGGGGAAGGAGGGAGGATGAAGGAGGGAAGGAGGGGAGGAGGAAAGGAGGGAAGGAAGGGAAGGAGGGGAGAGGGAAGGAGGAGAAGGAGGAGAGGGGAGGAGGAGGAGGGAAGGAGGAGAAGGGAAGGGGGATGAGGGAAGGAAGGGGGGAGGGAGGGAAGAAGGGGAAGGGGGAGGAGGGAGGAGGCAGGGGGGAGGAGAAAGGGGGAGAGGCTGGGGAAGGGAGGGAAGGAAGAGGAGGAGGGGAGGGGGAGGAGGGAAGGAAGGGAGAAGAGGAGGGGAGAGGCTGGGGAAGGAAGGGAGGAGGGAGGGAAAGCAGGGGAAGAAAAGGAAGAGAGAGGGGAGAGGGAGGGGAGAGGAGAGAAGAGGAGAGGAAGGAGGAGAGAGGGGAAGGAAGGGAAGAGAGAGGAGAGAAGCAGGGGGAAAGAAGAGTGGAGAGAAGGAAAGAAAGAGAATAGAGGAAGCAGTGAAAGGAGAGGAGAGAACGAGGGAAAAACCTGGGAAAGAAGAGGAAGAGGAAGAGGGAGGAAGCAAGAAAGGAGAGGAGAGAACGAGAGAAAAACCTGGGAAAAAAGAGGAAGAGGGAGAGAAGGAGGGAATGAAAGAGGGAGGGAAAGAGGGAGAGGGAGAGGAGGGGAGAAATATTAATGTTATTGGCAGCTGTTGATGGTATCTGATAGCGGAG